TTTAGATCTCAGCAATAATAACAATAATAGTAATTAATAGTGTAGTAACCAATACTTAATGTTCACCATACCAGGTACTCTAAGTACTTTAATTACCACGCTGATCCTCCCAAGAACCCTGTGAAGTATGGGAAGTAGTCCCATTTCACATACAATGAAACACGGAGGTTAAGGAAGTAGCCCCTGATCTCACATACTGCTGGTAATTGGTGGGTCAGGATATAAGCCCAGAGCATGTGCTTCACAGCAATCCGTCCTGCTGCCTCCCTTAAGCCACTGGTAATGTGGCTTGGCTCTATCTCTATAAATAGCAAATGTGTTCACGATTCTACCACATGTATAGAGATACAACTAATCTGAAAATCAACAAGCCGACATTTCATCATCTAGGCAAATGTCTTTTAAAAACTAAGTTTATACACTAATCTCTCAAAACTATCAGATTCAAGCAAAAGGGGGGAGGGGGGGGGGTTTCCAATTCTTTTACCCAGTTTTCCCAAAGTGCAAATTTGCCTAATGGAAACATTTCAGAGTTCCTCAACTACAGTCAAATTCAGAAAGTATGATATATAAGCTATCAGAGGTTTCACTGTACCTGATAGGTTCCTGAAAGCTAATTAAGTGTACACAAGGGTCTAGAGCCAACCTTGTTTCCCACAATAATTGTGTTACATACTTTAATAGCAGCTCTAGCCTCAATTATATTTTGATTATAGTTTTGAAGGTGCCCTTCTCCTTCCTTCAACTTTTGTAAGGCACAAGAACTTCAACAGAGGAAAGCTGGTGTGCCAAGGCCTACCAAGGACTGCAGGACTAGAGGACTGTGGGAATCCACGCTTTAAAAAGTCAAGTCCTATATCTAGTCTTTTATTTCAACAGAACCAGGATAAAATGAACCTTTTTCTTATGTACTTTTGGGAGGATGATTAGGAGGAAAAGAAGATGAATATTAAGTTCAATAAGATATTAAAAGCACTCATAGAATAAAAAAAAATCAAAGATATAGGAAAATAGAACACTGAATCCTAGAAAGGAGAATATTGCCAAGAAGGTAAAAACTGTGTAAAATCCTATAACTAACGACAGAAAACTCCAATGGATGTGACATGGTGAAGCAAGAAAGGGTGAGGTAGGGAAGTTGAAAGTCTAGAAGACTAAGCAAGAAATACAAATCAAGTTTATAATAATTATCAAACAGTAACTTATCACAAGTAACTTAAGAGGTTTGATGGTCAGAGAGTATGTCATAAGTTCAAGTTTTTCAGGGTAGTTTTATGTAATGACAATCCAAGCTGTGACTGTTTTAGTGAGAGACTTAGGAGGCAGTAGGAGAATCAACTGAAAATGAAAGATGTTAAAGATCAAAAAGGACAGGTTATCCAAAGGGTCATGTCAATGGATGTTGAAGTGACAAAGGATAAAGACAGAGAATGTGATAAAGAAGTTATACATTAAGCACTGCAATAATTTGAGGAAAACTGAAAACTATATTAGAGACTGCACTAGATGGCTATAAAAAGGTAGAAAATCTTAATGGCATCACCACCACATCTTTAAAAATGACATTTATATTTGAATTTTATCATAAAGATAACTGATTAAACTGAAATGGATGTCATCCAGGAAGACAATTATGTAAACCAACCTTCTCTGGGCTAAGCAAACATCTACCATCCTGAGCATGAAGAAACAGATTATGGGGCCGGCCGAGTGGCGCGTTGGTTAAGAGCTGGCTTGGGACACCACAGGGCCCCGATTCAGATCCCACATATGAGGGCCAGTGACACTGCCCGCTACAGCTAAGATGCTGAACAGCTCAACCTGGAGCTGGGTTGCCGTGAGTCACCTGCGACGGTGCAGGCTGCAGCCCCTGCTGCAGTGGGTTGCCATGGGCTACCGTGTGTAGCCAGCAGCCAGCGTGAGTGGCTTTCCAGAAGCCAGCGACTGATCTGCCTCGCCCAGGAAGAGCACAATTATGGTGCCTACTTGGGCCAGTGAAGCGACGTCCTCCACAACTAGACTGAAGAACAAAAGGACAGCAACTTGTCTGTCCCCCTTCCCCCAACTCCCCAGCGCTGTTTCCATCCCCCAATTCCCCAATAAAAATCTTAAAAAAAAAAAAAGAAAAAAGAAAAAAAAGAAACAGATGATGTACTCGAGGGAAACTGTGCTTGTCCTCTAGAAGCTTTAGATTTCAAAATGAGAAACTTTATACAATAAAGCAAAATCTAAAAATATACATACATATTTATATATATGTAAAAGAGAAAAAATGTTCATTAAATATAATTTCATATAAGCTCAATACTTAGATGGCTAAAAAGTTAAATTTTGTTTGAAATTGCTTTTTCTCTAGACTATGGCCCATGTTGAAAATATTAAGCTTCGAACTACTGTACTTGACCCACTCACTCAGAACTTTCCAGTACTAATAAAGTAGCTGGTGTTCAATTTTAGTAACATAAAGAAAATGGCTTTGCCTTAGTACAATAATACATGACTTTCCTTGAATCAACCTAAAGCATCCAAATATGTCATCCAATTCAGTAAGAATTTGTACTTTATAATGTGTCTCATTGATGCTAGGATAGAAAGTTTGTAGTCTTTTAAAGGGTCTATAAATTAACTAAATTTGATAACAGTGATCCATCAAAATTCAGTTCTGTACCAGTTAGCATTTGACTTGCATTTGGAGGGTTAATGTGAATCTTGTTCTTAACCAAGTTTAGATTACCATCTCTCCACTTCCCTTTAAATGGAAAAGAATTGCTTGTAGGAATAAGAAGTAATAAAGCCCTCTTTAATTATTCTCAGGGAACGCTATTTCCACCACAATAAAAAACAGGAGAGAATAGCAAACCTTGATTTACAATTTTATACCCGTTGGGTTGATCTTCCACTGTAGGCATCATTGAACAGTACTTACCAATGCACACATCGATTTTCCCTTTAATAGCAGCTTCATGCAGAGGCGTATAGTTCCAGTTATCCCTGGCATTTGGGTCGGCTCCTTGACACAGTAACAGACTCACAACCTCGGCATGGCCAAAAGAGCAGGCATTATGAAGCGGGATGAGTCCTCCATCATCACGAGCGTGGACATTAGCACCCATCTGTAGTAAGTGTTCTACGACATCCTTCCTTCCAAAACCTAAAAAGAAAGAGGGGAAACGTCTTACACATTAAACGAATTTGGTGAAAAGAACCATTAGAATTCCTTTAACAACATTAACAAATGTGAACTTCTGAAGTACTATATTCTATGGCAAAAAGGGTTAAAAAAAAAAAAAGGCTGACATTCAAATGACTTCTCTCATCTCACAGAACTTAGAACTAAGAAAGCTCTTTCTTTAGTCTTTGGGCAGTTCATTCAAAACATTTCTTCAACACCAATCATGTGCTAGGTTAGCTGTGCCAGACATACAAAATGAATGAGAAAAAATCCTTGTCCGAGGCAGTCACGTTCCACTGTGCTTCACAAGACAAAACCAAGTGTATAAAATCTATCTCTATATTCTAAGAGATAAAGGTTATTTAAATATTGCTGACAACCAAATCTAAGACAAATCACAACACTCAACATTACATTAGGAAAATTGGAGAAAAATGTATGGATACCAGAAATATGTGACGATAATTTGGTTACAAGTTATTTGAGAAGGAAGAAGTAAAATAATACCCAAGTATCTACTCTTGCGACAGGTAGCCAAACCAAATGAAATGGATGGTCAAGTAAAACAATTCAAGCTTGGATTTATTCAGTTTGCAGAAACGATATGAAAAACAAGTGGGGATACATGTATTTGAAAATACAGAACCATAACATTGGTAAGAAGTATCACAATTTTCAGACAGAAAAAAAGTGAGGTGGGGGGGTGGGGAAGAGCCAGAAAGGATCTGAAGTTGTGTAAGGACTAGGCAAACACAGAGAACAGTAAAAAAGACCAAGAAATTACATTATGAAAGTCAAAGGGCAACGCCATTATGCAATGTCCAGCATGATGAGGGTTTTAGTGAGATCAATGGAGAAGGAGAAAAATAGCCACTGACAATTTTAAAGTAATTGTAGTACAGTGATAAAATTACAAGCTACATTGCAATGGGTTTTAAAAAAAGGAAACTGCAAATATTAGCATTTTTATCTTTACCAGCTAATACCTTTATCAATGATTCTTTCCTACTTTAAATTTTATTAGATCTTATTGGTTAGGTTTCACTATCTCCATACTATTACATACCATGTAATGTTGTTAGAAAATGGCATCTTAAATAAAACGAAAAAGCAGTAAGAGTCATATCTTCCTCCATTTGATGTGTACAGAAACGAAATAAATGAGAACTATGTGGAAAATAGAAAAAAATTTATTTCAACATATGTTCTCCACACTATCTATATAAAAAAGTCTCCAAAGTAAAAGACATGTTTCCACAGATATATGTCAAAGTGAATATTAGGTTTCCATAGAAAATACCCTTCAAATTAAGCTGAAACTTTTTTGGTGAAAATAGGTCAATTTTGTATTAGTAACAGGAACACTAAAAGTATAGGTACATGCTAATGTAACTATCACCAACTTGCTGCTTGTTTTTTGTTTTGTTTTGTTTTGTTTTGTTTTAATGTCTGCAGAACTATACAGATGTTAGTTTCTGTTTAATTCTCTAACTTCAATGTCCTTCCCCTATTACAACCCTACTCTTCCACTAGGTCATAGGCACTTTCTTTACCCATGAAGATTTAACAATTTTCCTTCTTTATAGAGTTGAATAAAGCCCGAGTGCAAATTCAAGTTTCCCTAAATAATGCATTAACAATGTTTGAGAACTAATTTCCTTTCTTCCCTATCAAACAAAATTAAAATAAGATACTTTATATCTTATCAGTTGGCATTAAAAAAATATCCATTATAACTGAAGCAAAAGAGCAAAGTGTGTGTTTACTTTTTACTAAAACTTTTAGATCTAAAATATGAAACTAAACAAAAATGCTAAGGATCAGCAAGAATGTGGTGAAATGGAATTGTGCACACACACTGATAACGATAATGTATAAACTGGTATCATATTTTAGAATAAAAAGCATTATCATCAACAGGTTTAAACAAATATACACTCTGACTCAACAATATCACTTTTGAAGCTTTATCATTAGAAAAAGTATTCATGTGCAAACAAAGACTTTGCATCAAGAATGTTGATCATATTATTATTTATAGAAAATGATGGAAACAATTTAATGTCCAATAATTAAGGCTTTGTTAAATAAATGATAGTTATTCACATGACATAACATCATCCTGTATTTAAAGGATGCTATAGGACATGGTGAATGTGCTTAATGCCACCGAATTAATTATACATTTTTAAACAAAATTAAAAAATTTTTTAATTGTGTATTTTTACCACAATTTTTAAAAAGTCACCAAAATAAGTAAATAAGTAAACCATATACACGAAAAAAACAGGATATTATAGAAGATTCAACAACATGGAAAGGTGTTTTTTAGATTAATTAGTCTTTTAGGTTAAAAACATATCAAACAAAATATAGGAGAAAAAATACATATATTGGAAATATAGATGGATATAAAAAGAGGCTAAATCATTAAGTAGTAGAATTATGAAATATTTTTCTTCTTTCTGTTTATCTGTTTTCTTAATTACATAAAACATAATTTTGAATAAAATATTTTTGTGTGTACATATATGTTTATAAAAGGAGGTGGAGCGGAACAGCCAAAATCAGTAAAGACATTTTATGTGGCAATTATGAAGTTATGTGTTCTAATTTGATTCTGAATTATTAAAATACATTATTAAGTCAGAGGTTTTGTTAAAGCTGACTCAAAACATATACTCTACTAGTTCTACTGGGTGCAAATCATTATTGGTCATTCACCATTGTATCAATGTTAAATGTGTATGCATTATTTTTCATACACAAAGAGAATTCATTTACTTATACATATATTAATGGCTCAGTTTTATAAAGCTCGAAAGAAAACTCAACAAACCATCTTTCTCTGATAAAGCAAAAGTCACCAAAAATTAAGACAGTGTAATACTCTAATTTTTACCAACATACAGTATGTGCTGTAACAGATTTCCAATCTGAGAGGTATACAGGAGGTATAATTTAACTTTTGCAGAAGAATTATTTTTGCTCAATGTACATGCCCTATTATTGACAACAATAAAAATAACAAAACTAATGGTAAGTAGCTAACATTTAGTAAGCTCTTACGTGTGTCAAGAAGTATGTCAAATGCTTGACACGTATTAGCTCCTTGGGGTAACATCCTGTGAGAGATACCAGTATCCTCCTCATTTTATTTTTGAGGAATTCTTTCCCTCAGTTTTGATCATTGTGAACTGTACTTCCAAATACATATCAAATCTGTCTACTCCCCAGTGCTACCACCTCGGTTTCACATACCATAATCTCTTATCTAGACTTCAGCACATAACTTTGTAACTGGTCTCCCTCTGCTGTCACATCTTCTGTCCTACAATACATCCTTACACAGTAGGCCGAGTGATCTTTGCAAGGCATTCTCGAATGTCAGATTCAGGTCACTTCCCTGCTCAAAATCTTGCAATGGGTTCTCATAACACATATAATAAAATATCACTAAACATTTCTTATGACAAGGCTTTATGTGAGCTGGCCCCTCTCACCTCTCTCATCTCTCGTTAAGTTTCACTCACCCTGTCTTTCATTTTCTATTCCCCGAATATGACAAACTAAGGGACTTTGCACTTGCTACGTGCTTGCCTGAAGACATTGGACCAGATCTTCACATGCCTAGCTCCTGTCATCTAATTCTCAGTCCGAAGAAAGGCATCTCAGGGAGACTTTGGCCACTCAATTTAATGTCACCCACGTTTGCACATGTACTCTTCCATCATTGTTTTCAATATCACTCAGTTTAACTTTCCTTCTGCATTTAATCACTACCTGAAAAGTGCCTTGTTTATTTGTTTACCTCCCTTTTATTTTATGTCTCTCCCCACTCAAGATGTCCCATAAAGAGAGGCACCCTGACTGTTTTATGAGCTGTCTGTATCTCCAGAACCAAAGTAGTGACTGATATGCAGTGTAGCCTCAATAATATTTTTGTTGATTACATGAATATACCTAATGTTTACTTACTTCATGGTAATTAGACCAAAATTGTATTTTTTAATTTAGAAAAAGAAAATGGATTTAAAGGTTTTTCTGATTATAAAAATATCAGAAATATTTAAAAATATATAACCAAACCACCAAGTTTTCATAAAGGAAAACCATCTGAAATGTCAACATCCACAGATAATTACCATGAACATTTTGATGATTAAGGCTGCGGATTTCTTTCTTTGTGTGTGTGTGTTTAAACATTTTTTTTCCTGCCTTTTCAGTTTTCAAATATCAGATTTTTTTCAGATAAAAATTAAAAATTTATGTATAATTTTTGAATAAATACTTAATGCATTACACGGATATATCATAATTTATTAAGTTGGCTGGTTTCATCATTATAAAGAGATTTCTGCCATTATGAAAGAAAAAGTTAAAATAAATTTCTTTGTACATATCTTTGTATATCTGTCCAGTTCTTTAAGATAAATTCCTCAAAATAGAAGTACTAGGTCAAAGGTTACACATTTAAAATTTCTATGTTGCCAAACTATCCTCTAATTCATTCTATCAATTTTCATTTTCAAACAAAATGCTTGAGAACGCTTATTTCTTCATCCTATGTACATTAATATAATTTATAAGCTTTACAAGCAGAGAGGCAAAAAAGTAAAACTTGTTATTTACATTTTTGGTTCAGATATTTGCATTTTTCTTTTGAAAATGAAATAATACAACAGAAATCTCCCTTAATCTTCGTCATCTACTTTCTTCCCAGATATCATTACATAAAGTCAATGTTTGCTATTTTATACTTTTCATGTGTTTGTAAACATAAGTTTATATATTTATATGTTGTTTTATTATATTTCTATTTTACCATATACTTCATGTTAATGCAGTAAAACCTTGGATTGCAAGTAACATGGTTGGCGAATGTCCACAAGAGGAGCAAACATTTCTAATACATTTTAACGTGGTAAACGAGTGATGTCTTGCAATACAAGTAGTTTGTTTCCAGAGCAAATTATGCT